AAGCTTCACACAATCTTCAAACACCAAAGATTATGGTACCTACCGATTTAGTTAACATATCTACCGGTTCCTTCTTGTCTTGTTCATCTGAGTTTTGATCAACACGGACATGAAAAGACATCCACTTTGATTTCACATACTCGGTTCTCCTCCATGGAGCCACATGAAGTCCTTTCTTCTTCAAGCTCTGCTTTGCTGCTTTAGTGATAAGGATGATGATCCTCTGCAACCGATCCTCTTTGCCCACGAAGATGTAAGGCAGAGTTTGTTGCATCGACTTGTAAGTCTTTGTTGCACGAGCAATCTCGAATTTCGACTTGAAATCAATGTCGATCAACAGTCTTTCTTCTTTGAATATCACATCCACATACTCATGTTCCCCTGTTTCATTTCACAAACAGCCACTTCATATCAATCACTACCCAAGAAGCTAAGAACAGAACCAAGAAATTTGACAGAAGAGAGAGTAGTTATGGATCATACCAGCAGGACAAGAAGGTGATTTCTCCCAGCGAGATTTGCATAGACCTGCATCATAACCTAAGCTCACCAACCCATTCACTACACTTTTCAAGCATGGTTCTTCGTTACGCTTACAATTCTTACTCGTTTCCACAATCTTGGTCACATCAGCCAGTAAATTCCTCTCACGGAGGCTTGTACAGAGACCCAAACCCTACACAATTGAATCACAATGTTTCAGTGTTTCTGCTTACTCTTAATCGAACAAAAAGGTAGACATGAGGAAAACTGCTGAACCATACCTTGAGGATTTCACAAGCTTCACCGGAAGAACATTTCCGACCATCAGACAACTCACATTCATCGTCGGAGCTATCAGTACCACTCCCGGTAAAACAGTTGCAGCGGCTACGACCACACCGCTGTTTCTCCCCGTTGTTGTTATCCTCGATGAAGTTTAAAACCATCTTTGCCAAACAAACAGAGCTCGGCTCGAAATCTCCCGAGTTACCTCTTGAAAGCGGCGCATCAACGTCGCCGACGGTGGACTTCTCAGATGCGCTCTTCATAGTGAACTGGCGCTCGAAGAGACGCTTCAACCTCGATTTCGGCATTTGCTTCATCGTCTCCGGGAAAGGTAGATCGTCCGATACATCGGAATCGATCGGTTGGATTTTCATATGATACGGCATAGAGACCACTCAAAAAAAAATTCAAATCACCCAAAAAAAAGGGGAAAGAGACACACCACTGTATACAGAAATTTCAGATCAACGATCTAATTCAAAGGAATTGTTCTTCACTTCCAGATCGAAAAAAAAAACTGAGAAAGAAGAAACGAAACCTGAGCAAAACGAGAAAAAAATCCGAAAACCTAACAAACTATGATCTTAAAATTCAAAGATAAAGCATGGAATAACTTCGAAACTGAGCAAACTTCGGAGAAAAATAGAAAAAGGAGAAAGATCGCTTTAGATACGAATTAAAGTTTCCGAGATACGCGACGAAACGACAACGTCACGCTTTATGCTTTTGTGATCATTATTACAATCTGACGCGAATCTCGCCGTCGATTTCATCGTTTTTGACTTTTTTCCTTCCCCAAAGGAGATCTGATTTTGATTTCTCCGATGAGATTATCGCCGGAGAGAATAAACTGAATTCGAAAACAAAGAAGGCTTCCTGATCTGAAACAACGAAGAGATAGAGATTGAGAGAGAGGATAAGCTTTTAGTGGGGTTTTATAAAGAAGAAAAGGATATGGTGTACACGTGGATGTCCTACGTGTTAAAATAGCTATATCTGTAAAGGAGCGTGGACACGTGTCGTGAGATCAACGGTGTTGGCGATTCACATAAGGTAACAAATGGCTAAGATCCGGTGCTGTTGGTTTGTTAAAAGGTCGAGAATACCCTCAAAGTGCTTTTTTGTAAGAGGACGTGTTTGCGACTCCACTCAAAGCGGAGTCTGTTAAGTTGAACGAAAAGAGTGGATAAGATGACGGAAATACCCCTCCGTA